TATTTTATTTCATCAAATATTGTTTTTCGTGGATATCCGTAATTGAAATAGATGCCCTTATCCTTAAAAAGGAAAATATAACTTTATTGGGATTGTTCGCTCTTTGTGGACGAGCCGTCCAAGGCACGCCGGTGAAAACGGTGGTTTATCCTGCAAAGGGTGACGCAGATTATAAAGATTTCTTGAGTGCGTTGGCCGATAGATATAATATATATAGCCGGCTACTACACGCTTACGAGACCACCTCTCTGCCAGGGTGGCTAACAAATCCGTATTATAGACGCCTACTCAACCCACAGAGTCCGCTACTGTTTTATACTACAACTATGTTGATCTTAGTGACAGTTTCTGGAAGAGAGCGTGTTTTACAAGGACATCACGCTCGGTAACAAAAACTTGTGATTTCCCGCCAATTTCACACACAATGATTGGGTTCCTTGGCATAATGCCGCACTCTGAGATCGCCTCTCCAGACCGACATGATAAAGGAAACAACTCTCAGACAATTTGATCATGGTGGGATTCAAACCGGGGTCTCGTGGTCAAAAACAAAAGTTCCAAAAATTCGGCTACGGTAGATGTAATACACACAGTTTCCCCACTTGGGCTACTTCGACAGGATATACTGGTTAGCAACCTTTCTAGTTAGATCAGTTACGACATAGTAGTGATTGAGATTATCACTGTGTGCTCAATACTTTCAGCCTTGTGCCACATCTAAGTTACGCTTAGAGAATCCCTATATTAAGCAACCTCAACATCCACATCTAACGTACGCTTAGAAAAACCTTATATTAAGCAACCTCAACATAGTGTAATGCTTAGTAAGCTTGTAGCATTGGGAAAATTACGACTGAATAGTGAGTTCCATCCTCTCTGGGTGGCATACATTTATGACCTTGTGTCACATCTAAGCTACGATTAGACAATCACCATAATCAACTACAAGATAAACCAATTTATATATATATATATATATATATATATATATATATATATATATATATATATATATATAATTTATTTAAAAATGTGATTCCAACGCATTTATGCTCTACTTTTTATCGAGCACTATTTTTTTAAAAATAATAACAAAAATACTAAAGAACTTTGGATTATTTACCTAACGTGTTTTTCCTATTTTCTAAATAATTTTACACACACACACACACACACACACACACACACACACACATATATATATATATATATATATCCTAGTCTAGTTGTCGATTTGGTGCAATAGTTTACAAGCTTGTCTCGCTAAATCAATTATGATTGAGTAGTGTGTTCGATCCTAACTCAGTGCTCTCGACATTAGGCCTTGTGCCAGATCTAATCTATGCGTAGTAAATCCCTATATCCTAGCTTGGTAAATGTGAGTTCAATCATTAAGCCGGGTGGTTTAGACTCAGTGGAAACGAAACGAGCAATAATCAAGTAGTAGTTAATAAGAACGAGACGTGGTCAGACGGTAAGGCAAGCCCCTGACGAAAGCCGTGGCGTACAACGCCAGAAACGTTATGATAGTAATAATTATCGGCATGTAAATAATACAAATAATAATAATTTCTCGTTTTAAAATTTTAAAAATGGCAATATCAGAAAGGCGACGATATCTTCAGACAGCAATATCAATAATAAATATATTATTATTGTTATTGTAAAAAAAAATCATAAGAAACAAAATTAATAGAACCGAACTGTTTGTGATATCTGTTCTTTGTCAAATGGCCGGATAACCTCCTCACCGATGAAGGACAGACTTGAAGCAACTGATATGTGGTTCTACAGAAGGATGTTGAGGATACCATAGACCGAATGTGTGAGCAATGACGAGGTTTTAGAGAAAGTGGAAACAAAAAGGAAACTTATACTTAACACCAGGAAGAAACAGTTGAAATTTCTATGGCACATAATGAGGAAAGGGGGCTTGGAAAATCTGTTACTCATAGGGTAAATTGAAGACAAGAGGGACAGAGAAAAACAACGCATAACATACTTGGTGAGCTTGAGTAAATTGATGGCAGAACAAGGTTTAGGAGAAATAACACGACAAAATTCATTAAGAGCTATAAAGAACAGGAAATTGTGGAGAGCTATAATCACATACACCCAGAGGAGACCATGCGCATAAAGTAGAAAATAATTAATATTAATAATAATAACAAAAATAATATTCAAAGAACATAAATATTTAGAGCTACAAGGGTATGAATTTGTTTTTTTATTGATTCGTTTTTTACGGATTATCAACCCTTTGCAGGTTATTTAAAGCCAGAAAATATTTTTAGATTGTAAGAATTTTTCTGGAGTGGGGATAAGAGTGGTTTAAGAATCTTACTAATTAACCCATAGATAGGGGAGGAAAAGGTGGATTTATACCTTTGCCAAGGATATTTGCGCGTAAGTGAGTGTAACGAACCCAACAGAAATTGGAACTTTGTTCCCTGATTGACAAATCCGATCCATTATTCATTACACCACCCGCACATCCAAGCTTACAGCAGCTGTTATTCCCAAACGGTCACCCATGTAGGGACTAACCAGGATCGACGTTGCTTAACTTCGGTGATCGTACAGGAACCAATGTTTCAACGTGACGTAGCAGAAAGACTTTAGGAAGTAGTGAAGGCTCTTTATCGCCTATGATCTGAAGAGACATAGCACATAAAAGTACACCAGAAAAATCTTTGAAGAATATAAATTCTTACAGGTACAATGGGTAGGAAATTGTGGAGAGCCATAATCTACAACGGCCAGAAGACTTCAAAAATATAAATCTCGATATCATCATATCGTCTGATAATAAAAATCTATTTCAGTAAAAAAAAAGAATTCGGTCAGCTTTTTGAATATAAGAGTTGATAAGATTAAGACCGTGCTATTTAAAAATAAACCATTATTTCAGCAGTAGTATTAGGAGCACTGGGAGTAATTTAAAAGAATGGTGATAGACATCTCGGGAAATCTATCTTTATCTGTCATAAAAAATATGGTATGAATAGACATAGAAAATGGACACATAGAAAATCTCTATTAATACTTCGTTAATTTTTCTCATGGATTTTCTACAAGCGAATAGACCAAATATCGTCAGAAAAGACTGCAAATATTTATAAATGCTATCTCATTTACAGGATAATACCGTATGATAAAAAAAAACACATTTCGGGAAAGGAATTTGATAAACAGTCCAAAAATAAGCATCTGCAAAAAGAAATGACAAGAATGAAGTGTTAAAATAAAACCATAATTCAATCTGTAGGAGGACGATGTTTTTTTGGGTTTTTTTTTATCACAAATCCTTTTATATCTTCATTAACCTGATTTCTACACAGCAAAAACATTAGAGACATTATATGCAAGAAACATGACGCATTATATTATATTATATGAGATCTTACACAACCGTCAATAATAGCAGATATTCAAAAACCATCTTTCGGTCGACATACAAGTATTTCGTCTTCAAGTTTTTGATTTTATAAGAAAAAAAAACACATGCCTGATGATGAATAGAGGACTATTCGTAAGTACTAGCATTTTAACATCAAATAAACTGAAAACTACAGACATCAAGTTTATCGGCGAGGATCATTTCGCACTATGGATTAACAGTATTTTAATGCATATATTATGTTTCTAGCGATGGATGTCGCCAATAATCGCATTAATACTTCTGATTGATTCTATGATGTGTGATTATTTCTTTGTATATATATATATATATATATATATATATATATATATATATATATGTAAATGCATATATCGTTATCTCATATATATATATATATATATATATATATACTAGCAGTAGAGCCCGGCGTTGTCCGGGGATGTAACAGTAAGAGATAGATCAAGTCTCGACCATCATAAAGACTGAAAAATAAAATTGACAAAGATTATTGTTTAAAGTTGACGGACACGCATGTCTTAATTATTTTTTTTTTGTTGTTTTTTTTACGAATTGGTCAAAACCCAAACTCAAACAAAAACATTGTTTTCAATCGTTATGAGTCTACCGATTGAATAGAATTTTATTATAAACAATTGTCTTGTAAATGGAATTTTTAAAGCATTCTGAATGTAAAAATAAAGAAGATAGTGTGCAAGACAATAAGAACACTACATGCCAAAAAAAAGTGAAGTTTTGTTGAAATCAGTTGAAAAATGTAGGAAATTCGATCCCATATATAAACGAACACACACACACAGACAAATAACCTGGGTTTTATAATAAGTATAACTCGATATGAGTTGCCCCCCTTTTATTCTGGCGACATTGATGCCTCTTAATCGTGTTTTCAAATTGATTTGTGCAAAAACAATTGTGTTTTTCCAATTTTTGGCGCTGTCAGAACCACCGCAAGGTAATTTTACGTAGTCCTGTGAAATTTTGTTGAAATCGGTTGAAAAATGTAGGAAATCCGATCCAATATATAAACAATCAGACACACACACACAACCTCGGTTTTATAATAAGTATGATATATATATATATATATATATATATATATATATATATATATATATATATATATATATATAGGATGACCCCAAAAATGAGAACTTTTTAACTATCTAATAAAACCAAGAGTGATGGAAGAAAATATTTTATTCATAGTAATTGAAACCTTAAAACATGCCATTTAAAAAACAATGATGGGATTTTCATTTTTAAAAATTACATCCTGTAGATGGCAGTCTCCTGTACGAATGCATTCTTGAAATCTGCTGTTGAGATTCCTCATTGACTGCTGCAACATCTCAGCTGGGATACTGTGAATTTTATCTTGAATTCTAAATGGCGAAATGTTTACTTGCTCAAGGTCACTGTCTCGCAGTGTTGCCGCTTGCTCATCTCTGGCAATATGCGCTTCAAAAATTCCCGTTTTTTGGGGTCACCATATATATATATATATATATATATATATATATATATATGTATAATTGTATATTTGGACAGCAATCCCTCTTTTATGCAAGTTTCCGTAAAGATGACTGACAAAGTACTGCGTTTAAGAATAAAAAGCTTAATCGCTGTACCTTCTCGTCTTTATGGAAACGTGTATATATATATATATATTCACTTGCCAATCATCACCGTTGTTAAAACATGTTTTCTCTTATTTTAAACTACTTTTTTTGCGAAGAAAGTAATATTTCTTTCAAAATATGTCAAATAAACTTTAAATTTTCTAATTTTCTTCAAATAAATTTTGAAAAAGTTATAATTGATTTTTGCAAGAGTTTTAAACGAAGAATTTGACCTCTGTTTACAAAATGTTAAAAAATGAGTAAAATATAGTTTTTTAGTAAATTTGCTGACTAAAAAAAAACAAAAACAAAAAAAACAAGATTTTTAACAAAAATTTCGGACGTGCTAAGAAGGATTAAACATTTTCAAAAAATACTTTGGTCTTTCCTCTTAATAACATAAACATTTAGACAATAATTTTTTTCATTAAGTTTAAGGCTGTTTTTATCATACTATGTTCTTTTAGCGATTTCATGAAGATACCTATTTTATAGCAATCCTATATATATATATATATATATATATATATATATATATATATATATATATATATATATCGCCTAATCATTAATAACACTCCTAGGGTGGCTAGCGAATTCCGGTTGCAGGTACCAGCACAGGCAAATTTCTGTTTGTTCGCCACACACACAGATACCCGGTTTAATCCTGAGCGGGCCATAGTTACAGTCTCTGAAGAGAACACCTAACCTGGCGTGATCAGTAGTGTAAAAAAGCCAGTATATTCAAACTCTATGTCACGATGAATCTATATCTATCTATCTATCTATCTATCTATCTATCTATGCATGACTGTATTAGTCTCTCTCTTTTTTATCTATCTATGCCAGTCTATATCTATCTATCTATCTATCTTAGCTCTCACCCTTTCACTGTTGAAACTATTAAATGTAGCCGTCTCTTCTACTCCAATAGCTTCATGTCTCGCACCTCTCGCCTGTGGAACTCCCTTCCCTATTCCAGTTTCCCTGAGAGCTATAATCTCCAAATCTTCTGCAACCCCCTGCGTCCTAGTGGCTTCCCGCCTTGCTTGGGGTGAAATGCTTAAATAATAATAATAAAAAAGATAGATATTAATAGACTGTCATAGATAGATAGATAGATAGATAGATAGATAGATAGATAGATATTAATAGATTGGCATAGATAGATAGATAGATAGATAGATAGATAGATAGATAGATAGATATGAACTGCGATAGATATGAAAGTCTATTAATATCTATCTATCTATCTATCTATCTATCTATCTATCTATCTATCTATGCAAGTCTATTAAGCTCTCTCTCTCTCTCTCTCTCTGTCTATATGCGTATGAGTATGTGTGTTTTTGTGTTCGTGTCTCTGTGAGAAAAATAGAGAGTAGAGAGAGGATAGAGATAATTAGAGAGTGAGAGAGTCGCGATGAATAATGCCCCTTTTGATAACTAACCTATAGACGTGTATATTGTATTTCATGATGAAAAACAAATCTACCAGAACAGTTTCTTCCTATCTTAGGTAGATTTTACTGTTTATTTATCCATATCTAAGTACGTTTACCCATATTGACATGCCTACCAACGTACCAACATTATACGCATACGTATAGTCTCACGGTTGAACTGACACCAAGTACTTTAATCCGAACGTAAAATAGATCATTAAATATACATGCCCAGTCCATCCTTGCAGGAACGCATTGTAGAGGTATCATTCTCTGGGGTGGAGATGGGCTTCTGCTGCTTCTTCACCTGTTGGTATGGGTAATAAAGTGCGTGTTTTCCTATTTGACCCATATTCAGGCAGAGACGTGTTGAAATTGGAAATTGTAATTTTTGCAAACGAAGAATTCGTTGATTTTTACAGGATGTTCTGGAAGCTAAGACATACAGGCCCTAAATCTACGTGTTTAAACAATTCTTCTTCTTCTTCTTCTTCTTCTTCTTCTTATTATTATTATTATTATTATTATTATTATTATTTGAAAAAATCTTTTTTACGCGTATTTGTTTTATAATCAAACGCCGGCTCATAACCAGTGACCCGAGGGCAAGCGAAAGATCTAATTTTTTGTTGTTTCCACTTAAAAAATAAAACAACTATTAAAAAAAATCAAAAAATAACCACCCAAGAAACTTAAATGGACACAGCTTTCTTCACGGGATACTGGCTGTGCTTTTCAGAAACATTTTTGGATTACGTGGAGGGATAGTGCACCAGATATTTTGTGGATTTGTTGGCGATTTCCTTTCTTTATCAGACCCAAAGCTCCAATCAAAAGTGGAACAGTTTTAGTTTATAAGTGCCACATTTTTTGCTTCCATCTCCACTTCTTTGTATTTATTTATTTTTTCAAAACTTGTGTTTTTTTTATTAAAAAGAAAATTTGAAAAAAAATTGCTTACTAAAGCAAGCAATTTTTCTAACTTCTTCTTTCTAGTATAAATTTATTATTTCTTCTGTTTTGATAAGAATATTTAACAAGACCTTAAACCTGAGAAATAAGCGTTCTTAGGAAGCTATTAAGCATGTTGTACTGAAAGATGATTCTATAA